TAGAAGAAATTCGTCCAAAAGAGGCGCATTTCAATTTTCTCCCATTGACTTATACCTAATGGAGCAGTCGCAAAAATGACCTGACCTTAGGTCACAGACATAAAAAAATCCGAGGTATCCATTTTATGCATACTGTTACCCTAATCAAGCGGGGAGCATTCATTCTGGCCAGGGTTCATAATGTCCAGGGTACTTATGCCCAGTGTCGAAATGGCCAGTGCCTTAAATGGGCCAGAGTTCATAATGTCCAGGGATTGCATGGTCCAAATGCGGCCAACTGGCTGCAGATAGGGTATATTCAAAGAGGCCAGGGTTCATAATGTCCAGGGCACGATGTGTCCAGTGTTCGAAATGGCCAGGGTTCATAATGTCCAGGGCACGATGTGTCCAGTGTTCAAAATGGCCAGAGCTCATAATGTCCAGGGCACGATGTGTCCAGTGTTCAAAATGGCCAGTGCCTTGAATAGGCCAGAGTTCATAGTGTCCAGGGATTACATAGTCACTGAAAGTGACGTCATTATGTAAAAAACACGGAACCAGCTCAATGCGAAGCAGTGCAGTGCCGAAGGCAATGCCTTAGGAGAGAGCCTGATGCATAACCACTTAACCTAAAAATATTTGATTTACTATTGCTTGCAATCTATTCATGCGAGAAACTATTTCCTTATCCCCGGTAGGCAAACATCATTACCTTAGGTTAGGTTAGGTTAGGTTAGGTTAGGTTAGGTTAGGTTAGGTTAGGTTAGGTTAGGTTAGGTTAGGATAGGTTAGGTTTGGTTGGGTTGGGTGGACTATGTAATCCCTGGACACTATGAACTCTGGCCCATTCAAGGCACTGGCCATTTTGAACACTGGGCATATCGTGCCCTGGACATTATGAACCCTGGCCATTTCGAACACTGGACACATCGTGCCCTGGACATTATGAACCCTGGCCATTTCGAGCACTGGACACATCGTGCCCTGGACATTATGAACCCTGGTCTCTTTGAATTTACCCTATCTGCAGCCAGTTGGCCACATCTGGACCATGTAATCCCTGGACAATATGAACACTGGCCAATTCAAGGCACTGGCCATTTCGAGCACTGGACACATCATGCCCTGGACATTATGAACCCTGGCCTAAATAATACGCACCCAATCAAGCACTGAAAGTTTTAAAGTGATCGCTCAGTCGGTGTAGCTACAACGAGCTTTCGAATTTTTTTTCTGAGGTAAGGTCACTTGACGTTACCTGGTGACCTGACCTTGAATGACGCTACGCGTCGCGTCGCCGTATTTTTAGATATTCGCGAAAAACCTGAGGGGGAAGGGCGTAAAAACGCCCCTCCCCCCCCCCAGCACGGCGCGGGTGGTCGACATAGCGACTCGGACTGAACAAATGCCTTTAACGTTTCAACGGTTGAATAAGGTGAGAGGATTTAGGTAGGCTTGTATCGGATTTTCTTCTGCTTGTCGGTAGTTTAGGTTGAGCGCGAGCTGTCCATAATCATTCAAGAGGGAAAATTCAGCTGCACATCGTTCGGGTCAAAGTAATACCAAACATTCTCAAATTTTGTAGTAAAGAGCCAGTAGTCTACGAATATATTCAAAAAACAATTAGAAAAAGAATAAGCGGACTGGTTTCGTCTATCAAAGACTTCTTCAGCGTTTTTTTCAAAAACGTATAAGAAGAAAACTTACACAGTGACAATCGTTTGAAATAAAATTGGATTCAGTAAGAACTAAGAACTTCATTGTCCGAAAACCGCTGACAGTTGATAGCTCAATGACACTTAGAGCCGTGCATAAGGAGGCGTGAAAACACTCCTCATCTCGTTCTATTACGAGAGGACCATGTCATGGCTGAGAAAGGTGTTCTCAATATAAATGACACTGTATGAGTGAATAAATATTCCGCGCCCTCTTGGGCTATTGGCGGACCCTACCACCTGATCGGGTGTTGCAGCCGTTTCACCCTCCACCTGAGATCTCGGAAAGTTACCGACCGATTTTAAACATTCAAAGAGCGTTTGATAGCCCCACCAGGTAACTACCTTGTTACCAGGTTTCGTTGACCTAGGTGCAGCCCATGACGTCACAAGTCAGGTCAAAGGTCGCATTTTTTCACCGATTTAGTCTAAGGAATGCGTTACAGTCAGTTAACACATCAAATAAAAGGCATGTTATCGAAAAACATCGATGGAGCGTTGGTTGTCTAATACATATGTTGCCTAAAGAGGTCATTGATGCCAGGTCATTTCACAGAGGTCAGGTCACTAAGGGTCACAATATGAACCCAACTATGCTAGGGTCGTGTGATACATGTTTTATGGCCAATTTTACATTTAAAATTCAATGGTGTGAGCTAGACGGCCATTGGGGCCAGTTTAGATTATATTCTGGTGGAAGTCAGGTCAAGGTCAGGTCAAAGAAGGTCAAATTTCAAAGTTGATATTTTGCACAAAAGGGGTCTCTATTCGATGCAGCTGATCACAGGAAATCCAATGGTGGCCTTTGGCTTGCTTTGTGTGTTCTGTGACGGCTAAAAATTGAATTTGAAAATTTTACGTAATAAATTTTGAGTAGTTTTTTTTTTTGCCAAAACTTTGCTAGAGATGGAGCTATCGAAGGTTTAGTTTGGCATATCTAGAGCAGATAGTTTTATAACATATATTTCAGTTTTCATTTTTAAAGTTGTTGGTATTTTCGAGGTGTTATACTTCTATAGTTTTGTTTTAATGGTCAAAATCAATTTTTGTTTGGAAATAAGAGTTAGCAGTTTGGTAGCGCTGTTTATTTTACATCTTTTTTATCTTGAATATTTTTCGTTATCTTCAAAACTGTAAGCGTGACAGCGCTTCCCGCTAAACCTTTTATTGGGTCGAAAATGACAGAACATGGCATCCCTCTGACGTCATTTGTGACTAACCTTTCATAAGAGCTCTGGAAAAATTTGGTCACAAGGTGTAAAAATGATGCCCGGAGGGGTCTTGAAAGGTTGGTGGCGACATTTGCTATACTTTAGGAGATATCGACTGAAAAGGAGAGAGGGGGCCGTTTCGCGCCGCCCTCCCCCTCAACGGGGCTTTCAGTTGCTGCTCTCACAGAACCCTTGGTTATATTACAACGTAGTGGAATTGCAAGTGGCAATATAAGCTTCCTGTCAGCGCCGGACCAGAGTTTAAACATGCAGGCTGAATTTTAACATTTAATTTTTGAATTTTTAAACCGTTGAGCTTTTTAGAAGTTGTATGGACTGTTCAGCTCCTTTTTTTGGTCCATCACAGCGGGCTTGTATGTCACTTGTCAACCAAAATCGAATTAAAAACTTTTTATTTGGTCTGGCTACCTCGCCAACTTCTTAACTGGATCGTTTAGTAGCTTTTGATTGGGCACTGCCCACGTTGTCTGTCTAGCTTTTCGTGTCATAGACACTGTCTATGACACGAGAAGAGGCTGCTGACATCGTTTGTCGCGGTTGGATAATACCAATCCACGTCCCAGTGGCTGCTCGATCGCACTTTCCCTGGCCCACCTCTCCCACCAGGCGAGACTTTGCCCGGCACAGCCGTCGCCTCAGTGCCTCGGGCGGTGACCCGCTCAAAGGGGCTCACAATTCGTATGGTGCCGTGGCTCTCAAACCAATATAGAACAGTGAAACGCAAAGGCTCACTTTCCATATAAGGCAAACGGCTGATTCTGGCGCCGGGGCTTCATTCATGCTAAGGCGCCCAATCACAGCGCCGCATTTCAGTTAGTGTCGGGCGCAAAAGCTACTATGCTCCGCCCCTCCATCACGTGACCCTGCCCTCACGTGGCCTCAGTCACGTGGTGTTTCCACTTCTCGGCGCATGGCGGCGCTAGTCTCGCAGGGGCGGTGGTAGCTTGCTCCCCCGCCGTCCGGGGGTGATGGGTAGCAACTGCTGGTGACTGTACATTTGGTCTCAGATGCCGCTATGCTGCAGTATCAGCGCTGACGGAAGCCACAGCTGGCAAACTTCCTTCGTCAGCCGGAGCTCGAAATTCGAATGGGATGGACACTGAACACTGAACAGGATGTGGTAGTCAGACGCTGCATCTGATGTAGGGCGTGGTGTGGGCAAACGTTTCAATCTAAGTTTCATCATCCCTGCACCAATCGAATGGACCGGCCCCCTGAGGGGTTGGATTGAGATTCATCTTTGGACCCAAAGACTCTCTTCCCTAGTTTCAAGTGGTTTTCACAATGACACTCGTGCCGAGCTGATAAGGAGCTCCGATAGCAATGTCTTGTTTCGATATCGTGCTGAGGACGTACCCTGACGAACTGCTCCATGGCTAGCTACTGTAAAATATGTGTATCTGCATGCATCTGATGAGTAAAATATTGTATGTATTTATTTGTTATGGTTATCGGCTATCGCTGAGTCAAATTCATCTCATTTGCACGTCAAGACAGGCAATGCGCGCTCCGTGCATATCTGACAAAGTTCGATGAATGCGTTGCTGTGCATTATTGACTGCGTGTTTAATCTCCACTGCGTTTTCTGTGTCTTCTTGCATACGAATCGACGACTGTTTCGTGCTGTGCATTGTGAAAGTCAACATCAAGTTCAGGCCTTGCCAAACGCTGCGAATGTCCAATGTATTGTCATAACACCAATGTCATAAGCTTTACTTCGGTGATATTTTGTGCAGTTACATGTAGAGCAATATGCGATATCGCAATTCTGTCGGTGTACTTCTCACACCAACACTGCTAACACTCAAATCATATTACGCTGGTGTCTGCGTGGACCCGGCAGCAGGCGGCATCATGTCATGTTCTGATGTGTGCACACCTTTGTTCACAGGCGAGTACGAACACTGTACGCGTGCATGGGCGAGAACGAATCGGAGCTCTCCTTCGAACCCAACCAGATCATCAATAATGGTGAGGGCACTGCAATGCTTTCTCCATATTCTCTCTCTCTTTTCTAATGGTTATTAGTTAAGTTTAGTGGCTCCGTTTCTACGGATGTGGATGTCTATGTTTCACTTTGCATGAAATTTTTGGCAGTCTTTACCGAAAACCAGCATCATATTCACTTAGAAGAGGTATCTATGTGCGTCTTTTCCTGGCCCTGGTTCAAGGCTTATGACACGCCAGTGGCACAGTTTTTGCCCGTCTGACCAGTGATGAATGACTTGACGGCCGCAGGCCCCAAGGTCAGCGCTTCGCGTCTCTAACTAAAAGACAAGGTCACAGATGATCAGAATTTGTATTGGTCATGGCGAATGATGAGAGCGTGGCCCGTGTCAGTAATCAGTTTGTCCGCTCTGTATGCGCTGAGAAGCTATGTCTCGTATACGCTTTCGACATTTAAACTCAATGGACAACGCCACATTGTTTTGCACCTAGCTTTTTGCTGCATATCCCTTTGGGTAGGCTCCACCTGAGTCTGTGTGGTTATGTATGTCATCTCGTTCGTCCGGGCTGTGTCGCCATCTTTCTCTGACTTTCCTGTCTGGTCTGCTTCCAGTGCGGCCCTCGAGAGAACCCGGCTGGCTAGAAGGAACGCTCAACGGTAACCCCGGCCTCGTACCGGAAAACTACGTGGAGTACCTGCCGTGAGCGGTGCCTGTGACGTCATTGGGGTGCCGTGACGTCATTGGAGGACTGCCGCCGCCGCCGTGGCCGCGGCTTACTGTTGTGATCGAACTGTTAGCTTGTTGAGCGCCGATATCGTATCATATATTGTTGAAATGTTACACTGTGCGGTCGCCCGTGTCGGGTGATCGCCACGTCATTCCACCTCGTACTGGAGACTACCACTGCCGCCGCCGGGTACGGACCCGTATCCGTATCCGTACCGGGCCCGGATCCGTCGCGGTTTCCACATACTGGACGGAGAGGTCCTATCCCCGCTCGGCGTCGTGGCGGCGAGCAGCGCTGTACTGCGTGATAAAACGCCCCGCCGGCGACCAGATGTAGCCAGAACCGAGAACGTCTATTCATATATACATATATCATTGTCCGTGTATATACTGTACAAAGGGCTGCAGCGCTACAGCCCGGCCTTATGAGCGCAGAATAAACCAATATTATGAACACTGCTGAATGCGTTTAGGTGAGTGACGCCGTAGAGATGTTTGTGTGGTTCAAAGTGAGTGCATACGCTTTGATGAGTTCTGCGTTAAAGAACGGCGCCACGGAAGCGGCGGCACCGGTAGCTGCCATACTTTTTCATTTCGGTCCATTTTGACAGATTTGCCTTTGGTAGGATGCTCGTTCTCTTCAGAAAACTGTACTGTGTACTGCGATGTATCTGCGTAACGTCAGGCGCGCGCAGTTTGGGTCAACGGTTCAGGTGTCGCAAAAAAGGCATAAAAAGGCATACAAGAAAGCAATCGTGATTGCTGTCAAAAACATATCAAATATTCTTATTTTAAAAGGGCCACGTTTACAAAAAAAGAGCAGCAAATCTTAATGCTGATTGGATATTCATCAGTCCCCAAGCAGCAGTTTGGGAAAGCCTAGGTCAGGGGGGCCGAGAAGGTCCTGTTGGGACACGAGAAAGTCCGAGGGCGAGTGCATGGTTTGGGACGGCAAAAACATCTGACCGGGGTCGATTTGGTGGCTTAAATGCATTACTTCTTTGACAGGCATCGATCGATGAACTATGCGGCCTTTTTGCACTAATCGGTAAACCGCATATTATGAAAAAATATCGTATAGACTGTCTATACGATATTTAATAGACATCAAATCGGGTGGTAAATGATTCAACGCTTCGGTTTACCAGGGACTCGGACCTTTGACGATTGCCTTATGCCATTGCCCATTGATAACACTATGCAACAGTCATTTTGTTCCTGAGTAACGACCGATTTTTTGGACTCATTGGGTCCCATTATAACCGAAATGGGCATTTGTTTTGATCTGAAAATGCTTTTCCGGTTTTCAGAGACGATTTTCGATTTTTGGCCCCGAAATTCGGTTTTTGGCCCACTGTGTCCGGTGTAATTGAGTAATCGACTCGCGGTAACTTTCATCGCCCTTCCTATGCCACAAGCTTTCGAATGATATCCGGTTTTGCATATTTGCGTGTAAAAATAACGTCATAAATCTATGTTAAAGTAAGAAAATATTGAAATTTTGTAAAAATTTGACATTTTTTTCGATTTAATTTCAAAATAGAGAAAAAACTAAAGGCCCTATCCAAATTCTGAGCCCAGTTCCTTGAAGAGCATTCAATTTCCGTTCGGAAGGTACTATTTTAGTGCATTTTATCGGTTTACTGTGGCGTCCAGATTGAGTCACTTGAAAAACGGGCCCCCAACAGATCAAGATTCTGAGCGACAGGACTGCTCAAAAGTAAGTTCCTGCGTGTGACCCGAGGTCACAAGGGGTCAACAAAATGACCTCAGTTGACCCCTCGTTGATCCTATGGCGTTAACATACGTTATCAGGTTAATGCTATGTGATATGACTTAGGATATGTGTTTAGGTTAACTCAATCTGGACGCCACAGGAATCCGATAAAATGCACTAAAAAGGTACCTTCCGAACGGAAATTGAATGCTCTTCAAGGAACTGGGCTCAGAATTTGGATGGGGCCTTTAGTTTTTCCTCTATTTTGAAATGAAATCGAAAAAATGTCAAATTTTTACAAAGTTTCAACATTTTCTTACTTTAACATAGATTTATGACGTTATTTTTGCACGCAAATATGCAAAACCAGATATCATTCGAAAGCTTGTGGCATAGGAAAGGCGATGAAAGTTACCGCGAGTCGATTACTCAATTACATCGGACACGGTGGGCCAAAAACCGAATTTCGGGGCCAAAAATCGAAAATCGTCTCTGAAAACCGGAAAAGCATTTTCAGATCAAAACTAATGCCCATTTCGGTTATAATAGGACCCAATGAATAAGAAAAATTCGGTCGCTTTCCAGGAACAGAAATTTTTTCATTTTTTGTTGCATAGTGTAATGTAAGTAGGCGCCAGGCGGTTCTCGAGCCAAGACGAATGCAATCTTTATTTCTATGAATGCAATGCTGAATGCTTGGCTTTGACGGGTTTAGAAGTCGGCTTTAGAGCGGCTCTTGAAATCCTTGAAATGAGGCTAGCGAGGGAAAGAAGAATAATGTTCGGGTGATGTTCGGGTTGAAAACAAAACAAATGGGCCAGTTTCAAGGTCATGTGTGTGAAAGGAGAGGCGTGGGTTATGGAGGGGATGTTGTGATGTAATCGGTGTCGTTTCAGTTTGTGAAAGCTCAAATTTTGTGCGTGGGCCTGAAGATATGCATCTTTGCCGTATGGACTAACGTACTGGAGTCCTGTGCAGACGTCAGCCCCCGCAGATCCCTCTGATTGATTGAATTTTGCGTGGCGGCGAACATGGCGCACAACGTGGCTAACATCAACAGGTATGTTGCTTCTAATCTATACCAGCTCTGAGCACATGTCCTCTGTGGTTCGTGTTTTCTCTTCTCTACTTTATTTTAGTATTGGTAGTATATATAGCTAGCTCGTAGAGTGGTCTGAATTTCTCTCGCTCTCTCTTTCTCTGATTACCTGGTAACACTCTGACTAGAAGAGTATTGATCTTTCTTTCATCATTTTGTAGATTGCTGCCCAATCAAACTAACACCAACACTGCTACTCAGGTCTGTTCCTTCTGGCTTAATCCTTCCCCGGCAATGTCCTCCCCTGGCATTTGTCCTTCCCTAGGTTTTTTTCCTTTTCCGGCTACCCACAACCCTGCTTAGTTACCGCTTAGTACCTACCAACCCCGACACTACATCGTGGAAGATCAGACAGTTGAATGCAAGAAACGAAGAAGTTGGACGCTAGGGCCTGACGGCTGCGCGCCCTAACCCACAAAGAAGAAGAAGAAGATAATCTATACCAGCCGTTCTCAAAACAAAGCTGCATCCATATTTCTGTGAATTTATTTATGTCCTCATGCTCAAGTTCCATGGTTTGGATTAGCAACTTGATGTATTTTACGGTTAGTTTCCTTTGGGCAAATTGCTGAATCCGAGACGAGAATAACTGATTGCCTTGAACTGACTTAAGTGCTTTGAAGGATAAGGAATGCAACTTATAGAATTAATTGAACCTTGAAATAAATATTTGACCTCATTAGTCATTAGTAGATATTGGTTTTGGTTGGTGCCACATTTCTCATCAGCTTTGCACAAAATGTATCATGTCATTGTGTCTGGTACCTATGCAGTAGCATATCCATGGGGATCCTTGGGTCCTAGGACCCCCCTGGAGCCTAGAAATGAGTTATTTACTCAGAAAAAATGAAATGACTTCGAGGGCCCTTTTGACCACTTCCCATTTTTTTTTTTCACATAGGTACTGAAAAGTATTGGGGACTCTTTTAGGGGCCATTTGAGGACTATCAGATGGCACCTTTAGGCCAATGAGGGACCTTGTGAAGTAAACATAGGGCCCTTGGGAATGAACAGGATCTTTTCAGGCACACAGAGGGCCCTCCAGAGGGCCCTCTCAGGCACATTGAGGGCCCTCTCAGGCACAGAGGGCCCTCTCAGGTACACCAAGGGCCCTCTTAGGCACACCGAGGGCCCTCTCAGGCACACCGGGGGCGCTTTCAGGCACAGAGGGCAATCACAGGTACACAGGGCCCTCTCAGGCCACAGAGGGCCCCTTAAAACAAACAGAAGGCCCCATGAGGTATGTGGGTCATTTCCAGGCCACAAGGTGTCCTATGAGGCCAACAGACAGTCCTCTTAGATCAAAGGTGGTCCCTGGAGGTCACCAGAGGGCCCTCTGAGCCCTGAGGTGAACAAAGGGCCCTCTCAGACACCTCAAGAGGGCCTTTTGAGATCAAAGAGGGTCCTCTAAGGTGATTAGAGGGCCTTCAAAGGCCATAAAGTGCCCTCTGAGGCCACTGGAGGGCCCTCTGAGGTGACATGAGGGTTATGTCAGGCCACCATGAGCCCTATGATGTATCAGGCCCTCTGAGATCAAAGAGGGTCCTTGGAGGTCATCGGAGGGCCCCTTCAGGCGAATCTAGGGTCCTTTTAGGCAAATAGAGGGCCCTCTGAGGCAAACAGAGGCCAGAGAGCCCCCTTAGAAACCACAAGGAGTTAAAAAGATCAATATGAGGTCAAAACTCAAAGCTGGCCCTCTGATGCATAAATAGGGTCCTCTGAGGTCACCAGAGGGCCCTCTAAGGCGAATGGAGGACCCTCTTAGGCGAATCAAGGGCCCTCTGAGGCGAACAGTGGGCCCTTTGAGATCAAAAAGGGATCTCGGAGGCCACAGAGAGTCCCTCTGATGTCAAAATAGGGCCCTCTGAAGTCTGAAACCACCAAAGGGCCCTCTGAGGCGGACATAGGGCCTTCTCATCCACCTCAAAGAGGGCCCTCTGAAAATCAAAGGGCCCTCGGAAGTCGGAGGTCAGCAGAAGACCCTCTGAGTGAAACAGAGAGCCCTCTCGGGCATCACCCCAGAGGGCAGTCGGAACACTCTGAGAAGGCCATTTGAGTTCCAACAGAGGGCCCTCTGAGGTGATACCTATGAAGGCTATGTCGGTCTACTATGGGCACTTTGAGGTCGGTCAACAGGCACTCTGAGGACAAAGAGGGTCCTCTGAGTCGAACAGAGGGCCCTTTGGGACTATAGTATCAGAGGACTTTTTTAGGCCACTGAAAGGCCTTATGAGGCCAACAAAGGGCCCTTTGGGACACAATCAGGGCCCTCTCAGGCACCCGGAGGGATCTCTTCTCTAAGGCAAACAGGGGGTCACCTTAGATGATATGAGGGCTGTTTCAGGCCACCAGGGCCTTATTAGACCAACATAAGGCCATCTGAAGTCAAAGAGGACCTTTTGAGGTAAAAAAGGGTCCTTGGAGATAAAACAGAGGGCTCTATCAGGTACCCAGAGGGCCCTTTGAGGCCAGTGTGATAGTCTTCAGAGGCCATCAGAGGGTCCCTCTGAGGGTAACAGAGGGTCCTAGACGAACAGAGCCCCCCCCCCCGTGAAAACGCAGTTGGTGTCACAAGGCCCGGTTTGCATCAAATCAAAGGTCAGGTACCTATGCCCAGTTTCAGCTCTCTGTTGCCGACGTGTTT